AAACACCTTTGGTACAAGCTGAAAAGTATGGAGTGACTGCTGAGGAATTAGAAAAGAAAACTAAAGATATATGAATGTGGAGAGGATTCTATGTGATTAATCTGTACAGAGTTTAAGATACTAGCAGTGGACCAAATATCTGACTGTGGAGGAAATAATGGGAAAAACATGACTTTTAATTGGTGGGAGTGGAAGGAGTGGAAAGATGCTATTACACATCTTTCTCTATCACTTCTCTTGTGATTCAATTTCATGGTCAGTTTATCCCCAAAGTTCTCTCAGCTGTTGGCGGAAAGTGGTGGCTACACCATTCTCCCTATTCATACCCATTACCCAGTGCCACTTCCCTGAACCTTGGAACAAGAATAAAGTTTACACTCGCTGGCTGCTGCTCCCCAGAGGAACAGTTAATAGGAGCATACACTGGTACTCTATATATAGCACAGTAGATGGCCAAATGTTAGGTTTTACATATGTTAGATGCCTTTATTTGGTCTGGTCTGTTACTGCCAAAACTGAATTTGAATGCAACATTGCCCAGAGCCTAAGTTTGCGTTGCCATCCCTACAGATCCCTGGTGAGTTACTCATAGCCCTGGGCCCTCTGAACTCACCTTTCAGGCTCTGCTGTGACTTCAGATCAGTACTTCTTTTGTCTGCAGCGTAAATGAGGTCACAGATTGCTCTCTATGCCTGCATAGCTGGATTATAACCACAGTACAGTGTAAGTGCTGGTTGCTGCCATGTATATCAAAATCCTTAATGCATTATGCACCACAATTACACAAATGTAAACAAAACTGTGTTAGGTAATTGTCACATTGTCATCAGCCAGTTGCTATAACAACTAAAACAAAGCTCAAAGCAAGCCAAGACAAGCCCAGGAAAGTAAAGCCTTACAGCCCTAGTTCCACAGGCAAAGTTAGTACAAGACCTGTGCCTGGTAACAGGCACAGCAATAATGACTGTACTGCATCATAAGGCTATATAATAAGTCATAATCTAGTCAATAAAATCAATGGAAAGTGAATAGGTATTCAGCTCTCTGGAATAATTTTGTTAAAATTACAACATCAAGGATATGTAAAAAGCTCCATTGATTATCACCGTTCTTTTCTGATGAGACTTCAATGTATCCAATGCTTTCTAAAACACCTTTATTAGATATGAAATTAGGTATGAAATTCTGTTCTAAATTGTCAGTAATTTTGTGTGTCAATTCTAAAAGATATCAAAGAATCGATGGACCTCTTTATACACACACACAAAGGGCTTCAGAGTTCCCTGAAAGGTTTTTACTCTGGAGTTGTTTGTTTGGCTTTTTTTTCAGGTAAATATCAGCTTCCTGCTTTTAAGTCAGTTTTTAGTCTCATCATTCCTGTCAACTTTCCTTATGTGAAAGATTGCAAGTAAAACAAGTTTTTTTAAAAAAGTCTTATAAAATCTTCCTTAAAATTGCATTAGTTAATAGATATTTACCATTCCTTGAATAGAGTTTTGTATTACTTTCTGTCCTCATTAGGGCATTAAATCCCAAACTACTAGCATAGTTATACTAGCAGTAGCTAGTATATTTACTATCTAACTACTTTTAGATAGTAGTTCTATCAAAAGGAAAATATGAACAACAGTTGTCTAGTAGGAAGGGGAATTTGTTTCTGTGATCTATTCTGGATTTTCTTTTTTTTTATTTTATTGTGTTTTGCAAAGGGGTTAAATTCAAGGAAAGGATTTTTTTTCTTACTTATTTTTAAATACAGAGGCATGTAGTACATAATCCTGATTCAGGACACAGACTTTTGCCCAGTTGAAAGGAGACTTTGCATATCTTGCCTTACTCGTCTGTGTGATATGAATTTCCTGAAGCACTGATCAAGCTGTGTTCAATAATGAGGAAAAAGACACCAGATCCACAAAAAAGAGAAAAAAAAGCTACTGATCTTTTATCCACATTCCCTAATGTTTTTTTATGTGACTCAGTAATTTGTTTATGGTCACAATTATTTAATATTCTACTTGAAGATTGGAGTTAACATATTAATTCTTTATTCTGTAATCTTGGTCTACATTTCTGCTGGTAGAAAAAAAAACCCAAAAAACAAGGCAAACCAATTAAATCTAATGGATTTCAAACTCAGATCCAGAAATGATCTGTTGTTCTTTTGGTTTCAACTGCAAGGAGTTGTAAAATGGATCTGGAAAGGCATTACTTTGTTTTGCATAGCTTCTTTATGGGAATCAAGTCTTTGGGTGTTGGGGGAGGAAGATATTAAAAAAATTGCCCTTTACTATTTACGGGTCCAGATGAAATTCTTGTGGAATACTGTTAGAAATGCAGTTTTCCAGCCCACTGACCTTCCCATGTGTCCTGCTTCTGCCAAAAGAGTGAAGTCTTCATCCTCTGTCTTTGCATAGAAGGACCTATTCTAAAGCCTATTTTGGTGATCCCAAGGCTCAAAATAATTGAGTTCATCTCAGTGACCCAACAAGACATTCTACAATTGATTTTTGCAGGTGTTATTTACCCAGATGTAGAGTTATATAAGCCCCTTAGTGAATGGAGGAAGGGAAAAGACTCCTTTGGTTAACACCTTACCTTACCTGTCTTATCCCATCTTGCAAAAACACAGACTGAAGATGCTGTTTCATATCAGTCCTAGTCAATATAAGACTTCTGCCACCAACCCACAGTGTGCTTGCTCTGCCACCACATGATGCATGAGGTTTATTTTTTCCCCTGGAAAACAGGGGATGGAGGAAAGGGAACACTTTGGAGTATTAATTTCTTCAGGTGAAATTCTGATGGGATTGGGAGAATTAAATTCTTTTCAGAGCCTTAAGAAATATTCTGTGTATGGAAATAATATTTTCTGCCCTACTAAAGAAATGGCATAACATAGGAACATTGGGAATATTAACTCTCAAGGAAGATGTAGTTGCATGCCTGTTAAAGGAAGGGGGATTTATAAGTCTTTACTCACTTTAAACCTGAGGTAGAGAAAGAATCTCCATTAATGGTCAGAAATTCAGGTATTAAAAAAAGAAAGAACTTAGTTCTGAACCTCTATTTTAATGGTATCTCTCTGAATGAGGACAAGTCTGTGCTTCAGTATGTGATTTGTGGATCTGAGAGAGCAGAAAGGAATGGTTTGCTTTTTATTGTTCATCTGCTTCTCCTGACATTATGAAATTTTGTAAATAATTCTGCATCTTCCCTCTCTGGTGCTGTGCTGTTCGTCTTGCTTAGCAGGTGTTATGCAGTTTTTTTTATTATATGTTACCTAATGCTCTCATTCTACTTTTGTGGATGTGCTGGGGATAACAGGGACTTCTAATAATGGCTAACTTTCAAAGTGGCATTTGCCAGAACATATAAGTCTTTTAAAGTTATGTAAATTAAATGAGGCAGAACCTTTGGTGGGGACAAATAGGTACCATGGAACTATTCATAAAGTAATAATTTATACAGTACTTTTGACTGATCTTTGATTTTCAAAGTTTAAAAAGAGCAAAAGATTAAATATATTTACATAACTATTGTAAATATTTGCCCATTACATCAGTGTCTTTTTGCTATATGATATTTTTAGTAATGATAATGTCACATATTTCACTCTATTTTACAGGCTTGAAACTATTTAACCAAATATTCTTTCCTAGAAGAAATCTTTCTAGGGCACCTGATCAAAAATAATTCAGCACATTCAGAAAACACTGCTTATCTAAATTGACAGTATTTGAAAAGAAAACTGACCCCTTTCAAATAGGTTAAGTGTCTGAAAGCTGTAAGAAACTTAAATGTACAGTGAAAATGGAGTTGCAATATATCCTTGGGAGAAAGAAAACAGATAAGAGAAAATGCATAGATAGGAAAGAGGTGGTGGTCATGAGACTGCTGACAGATTCACAGAAAAGCCTTAAGACAAATCTCTGGCCCTCCTGTAGGACAGGAATCTCAGTGGAACCCATTTCCCAACTTAAAATTTCTTTGAAGCTGTTTGCACAAGTCCATCCAGGATCTTAACTAAGAATTTAACTCAAGATTTTCAGATGATGAAGACAGAACTGCCGGTGCTCCTACTCAGGAAATATTATTAGCAACTATTCTCATGGAGAGAGGCCTTTCAAAAGGGTTTTTCATGCCAGTTTAATGAAGACAGGGTTGCAGTGCTGGTGTGGAGTCCCCTGGTACTGCCAGGCATTGCTGCTGTGCAGTTCTTTGCAAGGAATGAGCACTGTTTCCAGGAGTTAGTCAGGTCTTTGATTCAGACTGAAAAGGTTATAAAGGCAATAAAGACCATGGGGGAAAAGTGCTGAAATTTTCACATTTGAGTGAGCACCAATGTGAAGGGTTGTGGTTTGGCTTGCACTTATAAGCCTATATTCATTTCAGAGGGGTTTGATAGATGTAGCTGGAAGTAGAGTGTGGCTCCAAATATTGTTTTAAAGATTATGCTGCATCAGTGATCTGACAATGCACTGGAAAGGTTAAATTGAGTGCAGATCATTTAGCTTTGGTATGATGATTAATTTCAAGTGATATCAGTTATGAATACTAGTTTCAAGTATTGACTGAAAAAGCCAATATATTGCATGGGAACTTTGAAAAGTGAAATAATGCCAGTTAACTGTGATTTTGCTTCCAAATGAACTAATCAGGTGACTGAAACCTTGACATGGCTCTTTCCTCCAGCCCTCCCCTCTCATATGTCCGAAACTGTCATGCTCATCTGTACACTTGAAAAGTCCTGAATGCTGTTGATATTTACTGTTCATTATCAAAGGTCTTTTGCTTTACAGGCTTAGCTGTTAAAACATGTGAAATGGCAAATGCTGACATGACAGTTTTGCAGTTACACTAGAGGTTTGTATGTATTCCTAAATCCCCTGATTAAGATGATTAAGAATCAGCCTATTAACAGTTCAGAATTAGGTGTACTGCTGTTATATTAGGTATATTAGTTATATTAACTCTTGTTCCTCTTTTCTTTGATATTTCAGTGCTACGGCTGTTGAAGGATGGTGCTGACCCTCATATGCTTCTTTCCTCAGGAGGCTCCTTGCTCCATCTGGTAAGAGTGATTGAAGATTATTGTTAGTGACTGTGGATAAACAAAGTGGGAAAGTGAGTAGCAGATTTGGCATATTAACAAAATAGACAGGTTTGACAATTTTTTTAATCTGCACTGAGCTCCGCCATGGCTGTGATTGCATCCAGCCATTTATTTTAAATAAATGGTCATTTTCAAATTGCTTACAAAAGAATGGATCATGTCATAGGAATGGTAGCTAACAAAGGAGATGAAGTGTTTTATTTATAAATTATCTGTGCAGCAAGGAAGAACAAAGGAAAGACACCTTGATTCTAAATACAAAATTATATGGTTCAAAGTTTCACAGTTCCTGTATGAAAAAGACCCCATGATATAGCATTCTTCCTTTTGTTTTTGTCATATTTTCTTGCAACAGTTTCCGACATGTAGATATTTAAACATTATCTGCATTTAGTTTTTCATTATTTGCATAGCAATTCAGATTAAGTAGCAAGAAGATAAAAGAAAAACAATTTGTATATAATAATTAAAATAAAAGCAAGAGGTAAGGACATGACAGGCAGACAGAAAGAAAATACCACAGGAGAGGAATTTTGGCATTGATGAAGCCACTAGCAAAACTCATAAATAATTCCTACATCTTATGATCCTAGTCTGTGATGCTTCAGTTGCAGACATGCTGTCTATGAAAATATTTTAAGACATTTGGATCCAAATTTATTGTACACCGTGGCTCAAAAGATGCGACTGAGGAAAGTAACAAAAAGTCTGCTGGCAGAGTGCTTCATTTCAGGGCAGCTGGATTACGTTTCTCATAGTATGTATGCAAACTATAGTAATTTATTGATGAGAAAGAACCCTTGTAATATTACTGGACTTCAGCACACCTGTGACCATGCTCTTGCAAGATACAATGTTTTTGTTGTGTAATTAATCCTTGTTTTCCATTCTCCATGGCTGTGCTATTTAACCAAGGACTTTAGGAAACAGAGACCAAGGTAAGGGGAAAGTGCAGTATTTATTTGGAAGAGAGAAAATTTTAATTCTCTTTTCTCTTCTCCAACCATTTGTCTGCTGTAAAGATGCTCAACCACTCTTTAAAAATGCAGTCCAAATGAGATTTGGGATTTTTGGGATTCCCAAATGTTACCTTATGCCAAAAGCCCTAGGAGACAATCGCTACCTTTAGTGTGGGTAATTTGACATAAGTGTCAGGCACTTTAAAATAAAAGAAAGAAAAATTAATCTTCAGGGATTTTAAGTTGCTTTATCTAGTTTAGCTGAAGAACAGTTTTTAACTGCAGATAAAATCTGCAGTTGAACTGTGCCATTTTAGGTTTCTTGATCTGCATCACGCCCCAATTCACTGTCACAATCAGTATCTCTCAACTGGTGCCTGCTGCTTCACAGGCACACATATGCTTCCAAAGGAAGGAAAGCTTTCTGCAGTAAGACATTTTCAGTAGAGAGCCATGTGTAACCTACTGCCTCAGTTTAGTCGGAGTTACTTGTAAGTACTCATAATTCATTTACAGGAAAATGCTCATCCTACTGGAGATAGAGGCAAACCTGAATTCAATGAAATTCGGATTTGACCCTGATTTGGGAGCAGTAAAGACAGGAGAGATGAATCGTGATACAGGGAAACAAGATAAGCCAAATTTATTTTCCAGCAAGAATTGAAACTAGTAATTTAGCATGCACCTGTGCTATATTCTTAAAGCCCACTTAGATCCATTCTAAGTGTTAGTTTTACAGCTGTGAAGCTGCTTGGTCCAAAGTGGAGCTTAGTGTTTATTCTTTCCACTTGTAGACTAAATGTTTTTGTGTCAGAATGAATGGAAAATATATATATCTTGACATTCTTCTTAAAATCTGATTCATTATATAATTCCATTTTCCTTTTTTCATATCTGTTAACTTCCAAAACATTATATAAGTCTAAAAAAAAACCCCAAAAAATGTGATACTTGATAAAGATTCTGGTTTTATCTCTGTAGAGTATTCCAATATGGTTGAATCTAGGCAAGCTATGGGAACTTCAAAATTATTCACTGAACTTTCTTTAGGTCCCATGACAGGAGAAGTACAATAAAAAGTGAGTAGGTGTCTGAGCTGCCATGCAGTATGAAGCACATGGTGCCAGGTCAATTCACACAGGCAACAGCCCACCCCCACCCTTACAACAAAGTATATGCATCACAGTTTTATTCTGGAACCTTAACTGAACTTGTCCAATTGTTTCACAAAATCAATTAAAGAAGAATCAATGAGCAACAACAAATCTAAGCTGCAACTAATCAGAAAAAACTCTATGTCTATTATTAATACACAAAATGGGTCAGTGATACCTGTCATCTCTAGAACTGGTAACTGGTTAGTTTTGGTTTGTTTTTTTGGTTTTTTTTTTGCTTAACAATGTCTTGAAAATATGATTTGTGTTCTATTATGCTGATCTGTAATATAAAATGTCTTACCTCTGATTTGTTAAATTTCAGCACAGAACAGCTCAATTTAAGTTGTACTGATACAATGAACGATACCAATGCAATAAACCAAAACTGTTTCTACAGCTGTTGGATAAGTTACACGAGCTAAAAGAAATACATCAGAATTTAATTTCTGTTCTATAATTTAATGGTCAATGTATTTGGAATTCATTTAGGACAGACTGCTTTTTTATCCTGATAGAATCTAATATTAATCTTTTGGGTTGTCTATATTTATGATTGCACTGGTACATGCAGCTACTGTGTTCTGATGGAGATCTCAGATATATCTTGACTTCACAGTTGAATCCAGTTACACTTTTC